TTTTTTTTTTTTTTTTTTCTTTTCCTGTGATGGTTTTTTATTTATTTATTTTGGTTGCAGAGTATTTAGAAAGAAGAAATCTTATTTTTCTTATTCTATTTCCTCTATTATGATGTCTTCTACAAGACAGCAACCACCAGAACGGGGTGATTCCCCTTTAATTTGTCTCGGCTCTGCAGATGCCCCTCTCCCTCCATTGCCACATACACCCACAAGTTCTGTTGTTTGGGATAAAATATTATCGGATATGAATGTAGAGTCAAGAGAGTTGCGCCGTGCGATAGAAAAGAGGGCTCAAAGAATTGCCGTTATGGAGGAGGAACTACACAAATTAGTAGACCATAACGCTGGAGTAATGCTTGCAATAGAGCGAGTGGATCGACAGATTAAAGAAGTCTTAGAACGTGAAGATCGTCTGCATCATTTGGCAGCAACCGCTAAAAAAAGAAAGGCAAAACTACAATTAGACTTGGAAGAAGCTGAGAAGAAGTTGTTGTCACTTGCTGAATATGACTCTCCGGCAAAAAGTGCATCGATATTATTAGTTTCCCCCTCTTTGCGAGCTATTGCGGATAAAAAACATCAACTAGAGACAGATCGTATTAACAAGGAGAAACACGAAGTGGCTGAATTGCAACGGAAATTATACGATGCTAAATCAAGATACCGAAAACTATGTGCAGAAAATAAGAAACTTTTAAATGCTTTGTCCTCTATGAAGGCGGAAGAAAGAGAAATTATTTCAAGACGAAATGAAAATAGTGTCCACAACAACAGTAGTAACAGTGAAAGTCGCATTGAATTTAGGGCTGCACTCCAGGATCTTATGGAAAGCCTTGAGGAGGTCATACATGCTGGTAAAAGGAGATTCTAGTGTTTTTGTCATCAGTTACTATTTTTTTTTATTTTATTTTATTTTTGTAAAAAAAAACTTTTTTTTTCCCCCCGTTTTTGCTCTGATTTTACTTTGCGTTGAGAGTTTCTCTGCCAATGGAGACGAGAAGATAACAAGAAAAAAAAAAAAAAAAA